TCTCGCAAACTCACACCTCGACAGCTTGGGCCATACGAAGTCCTCGAGCGCACCGGCAACCTCACTTACCGCTTAGCCCTTCCACCCATGATGTGTCAACACCCGGTATTTCACGTGGATCGGCTCGCGCCCTGGCAGGGCAATGACATCCAGGGACACGAGCCCCCAGCCCCGGAACCAATTGAAATCGACGAGGCTCTAGAGTATGAGGTTGAACAGATCCTGGACAGCCGCAAGTACCGCAACCAACTTCAATACTTAGTCAAATGGCAGGGATATGACAAGGGGCACAATAGCTGGGAACCTGCTACTAACCTCACTCACTGTGCAGAGCTTCTAGAAACCTTCCACATGGAACATCCGGCTGCCCCACACCGGGTTGCAGCCTCTCTCTTCACTACATTCCCCTGGTGACCCTGAGTGGTTTTCACGGACACAGAACCAGGTCCAAGCTGGGAGTTGGGGGTAAGAGACTGTCGGGACATCGGTCCTTAGGAGGGGGTAATGTGAGGACTGTGAGGACATCATGCCTCGGATTTTCAAATTTCTTTCTTTTACTATAAGGATTATTGGGTTCTGCATGTCCTGCAGTTGGGGAAAGGCCAGGTGGCAGGAGTCCTTTAGTAGAACCCCTATTGTGTACTTGTAAGCGTCAGTGGGCACTCACTGCCCCTCTAACTTGATCTCTCTGTCCCATCATCTACCTTGGTGCTTCATTGCTGAAAGTGTAGCACGGGATAGCTTTGTGCATCATTGCCGGCATCCCAGGTACCAGAGACAAGCTTTACATCCTTCCTGACCCTCCCTGAGATAGGGGAGTCCTTGAGTTCACTGCACACCCTTTGCTAGAGTGTGCCAAGTTTCCCAACTCTACCCCCACTATTCAAGCCTCACCCACCCATCCACGACACAAGGTATGTTATGCAAAAGCTAGTTGCTGCAACTAGTTCGTTATGAGATGAGAGTTTAAGGTCTCGATTCAATGCGTATGGAAACACACGATGAAAGCAGAGGCTTTCGAGGGAATCTGAGGGGGATTGTGGTTCTATACAAGAGACCAAGTCTGAGGCTACTTGGCCTGTATCTATGTCCTTATATACATGATTGGGGGCTGTGCATTGACTGTGCATTGCGTAGCAATGACTGTGCAATGCATAGTACATTACTGCGGTAAACTACGGATTACTACAGAGCTACAGAACTGCATACTACGGACTGTGGAACTGTGCAATGATCTGGGGTTGCTTTGCAGCACGAGAGAGAAGTGTGGGAAAGGGTACCTTCCTATTAGAGACAGGGGGTGGTGGTGGAATTTGTCGCGTCGCGGGTCTGTGCGCAAGCACCCCTCGATGCAACACCTCGCCCCGGGGCTCTGTCTGGAACAGACCCCAAAGCCAATTTTTGGACCCTGTTACGGGGCCTCGCGCCCATTACTGTACGCTCGGCCAATCCCCTTTGTTATCTCCCTTCCTTTGTCTTACTCTTCTGCCATGTCCCATTCCCCTATTCTTACTATACACTTGACTCAAGCATGCCCCACCCAAATGGACACGCGTCCCCATTATCCCTATCACGCGCCGCTTACTATAATAGCAAACGCGACTCACTTTGGTACCTTACTATAGGGCTTATTATTACCAGTACGAGACATGTAGCACAATAACATGTAATAGCTTATATAGCGCGATGTGCGCCTAGCTGAATGTTAATCCAATCCGTCTCGTTCGTTCTGTCCTCCCTGCGTGCCTCTAACTTTCTTGCGTACTACCCCTTCCCATAAACCTTCCCGCCCACTAGGTGGCTGTGGCTGGGACTCAGACACTTGCTAAAACGACTAAGTCGCGAGTCATGTGGAGACTGCACGTGATGTGTCACATGAGGATACATGTGATGAGTGCATGTGATTAGGCGTCTATATGACCTGGCGTCTAAAGAGTTGACTTAGAGGAAAAAGCAAATTGGGGCATCTAAACAGGGTGCTTAGGCGACTCTGTAACAGCAAGCCTCTCGTACTCTTCAAGGACAATCTCCTGGACGATGGCGGCAGTGAGCTGGATGGCACCAAGATGGGCACTGGAGTTAATGGAGGTGCAAGTGTGACTGTAGGAAGGGGGAAGTGATGCGAGAAGGGTATCAGTGAAGTCCTCATCGTCCACAGCCTTTCCGATGGCTGCCAGCTGCTCGCAAAGGTCAGAGAGTTCCTGGAAGTGCATGCATACATTGTCTGTCTCTCCGCACTTCTTGTTCCTGAACTTCCTAACCAGCTCCACCGTTACCATCCTGGTGCGCTCCTTGTTCACCCTCTTCAAAATATCCCATGCCTCCCTAGCTGTTGCTGCTGACTTGATCTGAGTGAAGACAGAGTCAGGGACACTTGAACCAATGAGGGATTGCACCATCCCATCCTGCTTCCTCCAACACACCTCTGGCTCTAGCCCCCCTATGACTCCCTTGTTGATGAACTCATCCGACGGGGTGTCCTCGGTCAAATGGACATCAAGCCCATTAGCTCTGAGGGCCCAGACAACACGGTCACGGTAAATTACCCAATTTGTCCCATCTGGGTGCAGCTTGGGAATGGTGATCCTATTGGTCTTCGGTCTGCATTTGTGAGTGCTGGTTACGGGTTTAGAATGGATGTGTGCTGATCTATTGTTTTGGGTCGGGGCCCATAACCTAGTGGCGATGCAGATGGGCGAATGGGGAAAGGGAGCAAATGAGGGAAGAGCGATGGGTTTCGGAGTGGTCAGACGAAGGGAAAAGAGAACAGGAACAAGTTATGATTCTGGCACACACTGCACACTTATTTAAGTCCATTCTCGTGGTAAGGTACAAGTCACCAGACCACGAGTGCAATAGATACAAATGAGAAGTATATGAGTGAGAGCAGTCCGAGGGACAACAGGAAACAAAGATGGAAGATTGTCGGGCCCATGCCGCACGGCAGAGCGCACAAGCACAATGCTGATGCACAGCTAAGCCTGGTGCTGACGTGCTTGATCTGTACATATGGTAACAGATATCGTGGTGGCGCTGTGGTGTCCTCGAAGTGCCACCTGAGATAATGAAAGTAATAAAGTCCTAGATAAAAGTAAGGGTAAAAGGATTAGCATAAAGGATGCTCATAAAAGAGCTCCAATGTCCATGGCCTTTAGCCATCTGAGCACGGGCCTTCAGCCCATTGCTCCACAAGTCCGATGAGATGCGTGTGTACACACAGCCTCCTGCTCCACACTTGAACCCCTCACTCCAACAGAGGGTTATGAGCAATAGAGATTTGTAGTACGCCTACTCAGGGATCTATTGCCTGGTGAGCACGCATAGTAGAAACTAACACAGACACAGAGGAGTCTAAGAGGACTAAGATGGGGACTCATTGATGAGAAGAGAGGCGACCAAGGGGTGGAAGGTTCTCCCTTTGCATGCTGTGCGAACTGAACCGATGCCAGCTATGGTTTCGGGTACAGTGTGAGACTCAAGATCGTGGATCCGCGCAAGGATCCGCGACTCCGTGCTCCGTGCCCTGTCGCGACCCATATTTCCCACGTGATGTCAGCGCGTACCGAGTCGCTTGTCCGAGCCCGACGCGCGCGACCCCCTTTTATTTAGCTGCCACTCGACCATTCCTTCAATTCCCTTGATAAAAGGAAATTTACCCATTCGAAAAAACATCATCTATCCCACTTATTGACACACCGACGACAATAGGTACTCAATACTCAGAGTCAATAGCAAGCTCAATAGGATTACAGACAAATGGTCATGATGATACCGTACCTTCTTCCATCCATTTCTCACCTGAGTCACCCCATGTCCAAGGTTAGCCAATGTTAGAGATTGCCATTTGTGGCGTTCTTGGACTTGCTCGGTTTCCAGGAAAAGATTAGGGTGAGCCCTCGTGCATCTGGAGGGCTTAGCAGCCGACTCTGACTTGCGTGTGCGTCGACCACCTCTTGACAGCTCTACCTTCCCCCCTTCCCCCGCATGCATTCCTCGTTTCCCTATCTTCTCCGCTATTTCTAGGACCACCACCGATCGGACACGTACGGTCGCTCTGGTGCGAGCAGAACCAAGCTGATGCGCTCGACCAGTACGCCTGCGAACTAGAGTGCGCGCACGATAGTCGACCAACTGGAGGGTGGTCTCAGCGGCCAAGGGAGTTACGAGCGGTAGGGTCAAGCGCCCCATCCCCACCATCCCCCGTGCCGTTGTCGCCGCCACCGAGGGTTCCCGCTCCCGCCACTCTCTGCCATCACCCCCCCTGCGTACCAACGTGCACCTGCATTAGACGACGACTTTGCGCCGGACGTTCGCATACACATGCTCAACTTTCGCGTCGCGCCCGGCTTCTCTTTTGGTAAGATGCTCGTAAACAGGATATACACTCTATTCTTTACAATCCACGTCACCGTCGTTATTGTCCTTTTGCTTGCTGTGCGTCTTCAACATTGATCAGTCGAGACACTCAGTCGAGCATCCCTGAACTCCTGCTTGTTGATCTCGTCGTACATAAGATGACGTACATCGCAGGGCATGTAGGCACGAACCCGTTCCAGTGAAGCCCGTCATAGTCAGCACGAGTGGCGTGAGGAGGGCCATGGTTTCCATAGGCGTGAGTGGGCGGTGTGGGCACTGGGGCACCCTGCGTGTGGCAGGAGAAAGGGGGCCCATTACACGTGCAAGTGCTGGCAGAGTGGCGACGGCGAGGGGCTCTATAATGCCCGTGGTCTTTAGTAGTCGTCTAACTGGTAACCTTTCCTTGTTTCCTTGCTCTTAGAAACAGCTTGCATTAAATCTCATCGATATCAGACTGTCTTGGTTCTTTTGTGGGGTTTGACGTTGCTTGGTTGATGTGATTCGTGAGATTCGATACAGTATAGATCTCCTAGTGTCTTATTTGATATATGGCTTAATTCTACTATATAAGCCACTAAGCCACATAACTTCATTCAAGGAAAAATAAGTAATTTTTTGGTCCTTTTGATGCGATGCCCTGGGAGTACACCAAACGGGAATCGAACCCGTGCCTAGCTGCGGAGTGGTGGCCCCCCAGGGCCGACTGCCCCGCAGGGGGCCACCACCGCGCAGCTCATGATACCACTTCACCATCGGTGCGACCTCGTCTAATGACATCATTCACTTCACATTCAACATCACCATCTCCAACCCTAACCCCCAAATTAACCCCAGTTCCGGTTTTCTCCGGTAACTCTGGTTCTTTGCAAAAAAAATTGAGAACCCAGAGACTTGCCCAGAGAGGCCATCGGTCCAGTAACTCCAGTAACTCTAGTTCATAGGAAGTGCTGATGTGCAAAAGAAATGTAAAAGTACAGCTATGAATTGGAATCATCCTCCTCATCATGACAACTCCTTGTTTCAACACACCCCAACTTTTCGTCGGCACCAGGATCTGCTCCGTGCCGAAGAAGGACACGCGTTACTTCCACAAGCCCACCTTGTGATGCCAGATGAAATGGGGTCAATCCGTACTTGTTCTGGGCATTCACATCTGCACCGTGCTCGAGAAGTATGTGAGCAAATTCTGCATATTTCTGTGAGTTTTTGATCCACTGTGATGGAGTTGACACCAGGTGTAATGGAGTCTCCCCGTCCTTGTTCCGAGCAGTCACGTCCGCGCCGTGCTCAATAATCACGCGAGCGACTTTCACTTGTCCTCGAATCAACGCCAGATGTAATGGGGTCTCCCCATCCTTGTTCTGGGCTGTTACATCCGCGCCGCGTTCAATGAGCACGTAAGCGACTTGAACATGCCAATGAATCAACGCCAGATGTAATGGATTGCCCCCATCCTTGTTCTGGGCTGTCACATCTGCGCCGCGTTTAATAAGCATGCGAGCTAATTCCACTTGTCTTCGAATCAACGCCAGATGTAATGGTGTCTCCCCATCCTTGTTCTGGGCTGTCGGATCTGCGCCGCGCTCAATAAGCACGCGAGCGACTTGCACTTGTCCTCGAATCAACGCCAGATGTAATGGGGTCTCCCCATCCTTGTTCCGGGCCGTTATATCTGCGCCATGGTTAATAAGCATGTAGGCAACTTCCGCCTGTCCTTGAATCAATGCCAGATGTAATAGGGTCTCCCCATCCTTGTTTTGGACGGTCACATCCGCACCGCACTCAATAAGCATGAGAGCGACTCCCACTTGTCTCCTAATCAAAGCCAGATGTAATGGAGTCTCCCCATCCGAGTTCTGGACCGTCATATCCGCACCGTGCTCAATTAGCACGCGAGCGACTTTCACTTGTATTCGGGTCCACACCAGATGTAATGGTGTCTCCCCGTCCTTGTTCTGGGCTGCCATATCCGCGCCACGCTCAATAAGCAAGCGAGCAACTTCTACTTGTCCTTGAATCAACGCTAGATGTAATGGAGTGTCCCCGGCCTTGTTCTGGGCGGTCACGTCCGCACCGCGCTCAATAAGCGCACGAGCGACTTTCACTCGTCCTCGAATCGACGCCAGATGTAATGGAGTCTCGCCATCCTTGTTCTGGGCTGTTACATCCGCGCCGCGCTTAATAAGCATGCAAGTGACTGACACTTGTCTTTCTTTCGACACCAGATGTAATGGAGTCTCCCCATCCTTGTTCTGGGCTGTCACATCCGCATCACGTTTGATAAGCATGCGAGCGAATTCCACTTGTCCTCGGATCAACGCAAGATGTAATAAAGTCTCCCCATCCTTGTTCTGGGCTGTCACATCCGTGCCGCGGTCAAATAGCATGCGGGCGACTTCCACTTGTCTTTGAATGAACGCTACATGAAATGGAGTGTTCCCATCCTTGTTCTGAGCAGCCGTATCCGCGCCGCGCTCTATAAGTACGCGAGCGACTTCCACTTGTCCCTCTTGCGACGCCAGATGTAATGGAGTATCTCTGTGCTTGTTCTGGGCCGCAACGTCCGCGCCGTGCTCGATAAGAATGCGAGCAGTTTTCACGTGTCCGCGTTTTGACGCCAGATGTAATGGGGTCTCGTTATTGGTGAAACCTCGAGAGTGCACATCCTGTGGGCGCTCCACGACGAGGAACTTTACTATGAAATGTAAACCGCAAAGAGCGGCATAGTGCAAGGGGGTTCCGCGGAGTGGCAACGGCCGTTTATCTCGTGGGTTTCGTCTCCTCCGCGAACTCTCTGGGCCGTATATCCAGACCCAAACCGCAAGATGTGGTCTGCTCGGGTCAAACAGTTGCTTCGTACCATTCTCCACATGCGGCGACACATCCTCGAATTGGGCATGGTCAGCCCAGTGTTCCGCAGCATATTCAGCGAGAGGCCATTCCTCCAGACTGTCACTGGTGACGGCATCCTTATTAAGGTGTAGCAGAACGCCCAAACTGGCTTGTGCAGCAAGGATATGAGAATGTGGCATAGAAAGATGATACCGGCGGAGAATGACGTCGCTTGCTTCAGCAAGGCGGGTGGATATCAAGAACTCTTTCACTGAAAAGTGAGAGAATTGTACGACTTTTCCGAAAGGAGATCCACCATCGACAATGGCAAGCAAACTGGAGCATGTAGACAGCACTGCGTCTACTGAATCTTCCAGGCGCCAATCTTCACAAAATTTTGGAATTGGACCTGCCTTGAAATCGAATGCAAGCAACTCGGCGAGTTCCTCGGCGCGAAGCGGGCGGGAAGCTACTGCAACAAACTGAAACAGACGATGGGCGTATTCCCAGTCTGCCTTATTGATCTCTCGCAGGGTACGCTGATATGTCGCGTCCAGCGTCTCTGGCAAGTGGGCCAGTGCATGCTGAATACGTGCTGGGATACAGCCACAGATGTAGACCACCTGACAGTCTACCCATCTGAACCTACAGTACATCACAGAAATGAGCGAGGATCTTATAAGAATTCAGGATTGACGCCTTACATCCCGTCGGCTTTTTCCGTGAGGACGTCGATGACCAGTTGCCTGTGCTCCGCTTTCCACTGTCTGTTTTTGGGATGCGTGTTAATGACCGACTCGATATAGTCTTCGATGTCTTTCTTTTGTCCTCTCTCGTCATGAAGGGAAATCCAGCGGGGATTTAAGGGATTGAGGACACCCTTGATATCAGACTCTGCTCGGCTTGTGACACATATGCGCAGATTCGAGAATTGCGATTTAATAAGCTCCTCTATGAGGTTCAGGACTTTGGTACGGGGCGATCGGGTGGTAGATGTGTTTGGACATTCATCCAATGCATCTATAATGATGTACACGGGGGCTAGCCCAGGGAGTTTAAGTAGGTCCTTTAAACATCCCACAAGTGAATCGTCGCTGGGACGACGGAAACCCTTGGCGTGTTCCGAGTAGAAGTAGAGAAGCGTGTCGCAGTAGGAGTCGGATTGATGACAAAGTTGGACTAGGAGAGACGAAAGCAGTCCGCGCAGGTCCTTCTTTTGATCCTCCCTAAAATCAAAGTAGAAAAATGCTAATGAAGCAAGCCCAGCTTTCCGCATTGCATCAACGTCCTCGATGATCGTGGAACTAGCCAGCACAATGAGTTCCCGAGATGGGTGTATCAAAAGTTTGCCGCACCAAAGAACACTTTTTCCCGCGCCCGCTACGAAAAGGAAAGCTTTCAATCTCAGTAACAGCGTAAGAGCCAGAGTATTAACGGACGTTTTCCATGAACCCATAGAAGAGAACTCCGGTCCACAGATGTTTTCCATTTTGAGAATATATCGCTCTGAATAAACCACGCTGCAGACCCACGGTGGCGTGATTCGCAGGAATTATGGTGATTCTTCCAATGATCAGGTGGTGCTAACCATCTGAAAACATCTTGCTGTAAGTTGTCGCCTGCCAGACAATCTCTGTGATCCCAGTCAGCCATAGCAAGATCAAAAGGTGACTGACGCTTCGACTTGTTCAAACTACTCGCGAGTTGCTGCATAATTTCTTATGCTCTGTCAGAAACGTATCCAATTGATTGTGCCTAAAAACATACCGAGTGCATTCCTTAGGTGGTCAACCGATGCCTTGCCGTCTAAAAGAAAGGATCCTCAATAACTAGAGGGCGATAACCTTTGAGAACTTGTTCACCGTCCATTACCACTTTCATATTCTGCATGAGGCCGTAGACGACCTCGAGTGTTTGTGTTGCGGTTATCCGAGCCTCATCCTGGGTGAGTCGGTCCAGCCTTTGGAGTACCGCCTCGACGTCCTTCTCTCCAAAGAGCTTCTTAACAAGTTTTTCTGCGTTGCATTAAGTCAGTAATATTATACCTCACCGAAGACTGACTGACTTGGTTTTCCCTGTTTAATTTGCTTGGTCGCCAACGCAAGGGTGGAGAGCAGCTCCACGAGTATCTTGACAACCATCTCGGTCATAGCGTCTGTAGGGGGGATCTTGGTGTAGATATTAAGGCGCTTCAGAAAGTGATCGATCGACTCGAGCAAGTCGATCAGCGCATCGTAGCTGCCAGTGGCGCCCTTGACCGCCTGATGTGTTTGGATGTCACGAAAATGCGCGCTTGGCGTAAAGAGAGACACATACAGAGAGTAGGATAGCGAGGCCTGCGTATATTGCTTTCGCGGGCGGGAAATGCTATAGTATGAGGGTCAGGGATATTGATCACCCAGTCGGCAGTTACGGACGTACAAGACTGATAGCCTGACCAAAATCGGCACCGGCAGAAAGTTTATACAGAACTGATACGGCATTTTTAAGCAGCGTCAAGGTTTTTTCTTTTCCCCGGAATTCACTGAAGGCTTGTGTTTGTTCTTGAAGAACGGCGGTAACGGACTCGACGGAGTTACAATTCTGGAGGTGCTCGGCGAGTGGATGCTTGACCAATGCTATGCCCGTCTGCGTTTCGTAGTCCTGCAAGGCGGTCTCAAAGAGAACCCGTAAATAAGACGATCCCAATTGGTCACTCATGTCAGAAGGGATGAAATGTGGGGTTGAAAAGGAGAGTTGGTTCGCTAGGAAGAAATGATGTGGAGGGAATGGGATGAGGCGGTAGAAGGTTGAAACGGAGGGTTGCCTCGCTTATCGATGGCAAGTGTACTTGCAAGTGTACTTGCAGGTGTACGCAAGTTAATTGCCCAAAAAGGTGGGCGTAGCTGAGGATATAATTGAGCGCTGAGGCAGAGCGCTCGACAGTG